TATATTTTGATCTGAAAATTGTGGATCTCTAACTTAACGAAATCCGTGTCCCAGGTGGTTGTAACAGAAAGCTGTATGAAAAATTACCATACAAACCGTTTGTTGCCGACTTGATGCAATGCGATAATGTACGATTCTGAGCTCAGAAAAAACCTGTATACTTGTGCTGATACGCGGCATGGCTCTGATGATGTTCATGAAATGTTCAAAAGCTTAAGCTCCATGATGTTCAAATTGCCGTGAAAACAATGTATATTTTCTAATAATTTAATCGCCTGTCTTGCTATGTAATCGATCAGCCACATCCAATAAGTCAGATTTCGTTCACAGCTTCGCCATTGGCGGCGCAACTATTATTATTAGCCACTTCGCTCGTTGTTTGATGACTAGCATACAAAATATGTTATTTCGAATTGTTTTGAAATTCTTCAGCATTAAACACTTGATAAATTCAAATTTTAAATATATTTCTTAAACGTGGCGTACGTAACTTGTAAGCAACTGGATTGGGTAGTCGTTTCTATTTTCAGCTTGCTTCAGAAAGCAGCGGAACTCGATGAAGGTAAATTTTTCAAAACACAAAATAGAATAGAATTTAAATTGCTTTTACTCGTGAGTTTAATTTCTATAGCATTATCATCAGTAAAAAGGATTAAATGGTTCATTTCCATTTATTAATATTGCATGCACTCCCGAATCGAATATCATGGGTCATGCACCGCCACTGACCTTATCCGTTCGTAAACTGGCAAAAAAAGAACAATCTAAAAAAGCAAAACTGTCTCGCGCTGATCTGGGTTCGCATATGGGCATCGTTCAGCTGCTGCCGGCCACTTCTTGTAAAAAGTGATTTGCTGTCACCAAAGAAGGTGATGCGTCCTCAAGGTCGGCCCGGTCGTGGGTGACCGAAGAAAACTGGTTGGTTCTTTGGTGGCTCTTCGTATTTGTATGGAAATCTGACCGCTTATATATCACAATAATTGCTATATTTGTTGTTAGGTCGATAATGACATTGTTATGCTCATTTAATCGTTATGAAGCTTTGTGTGTATGGTCTGGTAACCAGAAATGAGACAAGGACATAGTTCGCACCTTGAGTTTACGTATTTTTCTAGATGGATATTTTGCATCTGAAATATATTTTGCTTCCTTTCAATGTCTTAGGCTCTGGTATTTGTATCAGTAATTTGAAGTGCAAAAGTATACAGGGTGTGTCCGGTAAGCAAATGATCTGACTCAACCTGATGAGAGGGTACAGCGATATGATTTAAATCAAAAGAAAACGATCTGACTCAACTTTTATTAAGAAAAACTGCCTGGCTCCTCTGCTATTGATGGTCAAAGTTCTTTAAAAAAAGATCTTTTTCTTAAATATTGGGAGAATGGTACAATGGATTTTAATGAAACTCGCTGGGAATTTGTTCCTATGTAAGACTCATCTTTCACCTCAGCTATCTAATAAAAAGTTCTGGTAGTTTGCTTACCGGGACACTCCTGAATTTACCACTTGCCCAAAGCGGATGAACTCGGTTGCTTCATAAAAAGCTGAGTCTTGTATACATAAGAATAAATTCTTCTCATTCAGTTGGTCTCTATTTGAGCCAATGAATGTCTCAGTGCTTTTTTAATCGTGTGCTTAGGGAACACCCTCTATCTGCAAATATAATCACATGAAATCAAAGGAATCGTTAAATCAACTGATAGGTATAGATTAGAAAATATGAAGAAATCCTTATCTCCTGGTAAGTCGAATAATCCAAATCTGGCTAAACGTCTGCAGTAAATTCAAATATTTCTATTGAAAAAAATTGCAAGGGTTATGATCTACAGAATATGAGGTGTAGCAAATGAAAAATAAATTTATCACTCTTCCAATCATGTTTAAAATATGTTGCTAGAGAATTTTTGAGCACACAGGCGGCTTGGCGTTATCGTTCATGAATTGAGTCGTTTTCTTTGAATGTGGAAACAGTTCGTTGAAAAGGTTTTGTCAGCAACGCAATCTGCCATTTACTTTTTGTCTATTAACAATTTGTGTAAAACATGTTTAAAGTGTTCAACATTTTGTCATTGTGTAARYTTACCATTAGGAGGAAACATAAAATTYAACCMAAAAAAATTAAYATATAGTTTTTCTACTTATTTTMTTAAGTCCGMTCAATTCAATTTTCTAAACATTATCAAATACATTTAACATTATTCTAAACTCATCTATAATTAACATTATCTTGAGCTGCTGTGCCACAATTACAAAAACTAATCTGCTGCTGCTGTGCCACAATTACAACTTTCTAAACAATATCAAATACATTTAACATTATTCTAAACTCATCTGTAATTAACATTATCTTGAGCTGCTGTGCCACCATTACAAAAACTAACCTGACTGAATGAAAATTCTGCAGTGCGCTAGAAACCCACCAGGTAATAACTCAATTAGTACCTGAAATTGCGACGAAAAGATTCTTTATGAGGTCACGACCAAAGACCTGATCAAACTGAGATTTTATTTGAAAATGATATTTCAAGAAAAAGAGCGAGAATGGCTAACTCCAGAAACCTCTACCAAGAGCTCTGCTTTTGAGCTATCCTCGTAAAAGGCTAGGTGAAGACTTGAAGCACATAGAGAGTCCACTCTGGAAGATGACCCTGATCCATCCTCAATAACTTTTTTTGTATTAGGCARCAAATCGTAATCAATCACCAGCAACATTTCAGTAAACWGYTACGCACTCGTTGAGAGTAAAAACAGAAAAAAAGTCGCATAGTCGCAAAACAGACAAACAATGGTCAATAAGTTGAAGAAAATTCTAACCATAGAAGAAGTGCAATTGGTGAGCTTTGTTTGATATCAGCGCTGTCCGTTTAACATTTGTTGACTCTGAAACATAAAATAGACGCTGTTTTAGGTCAAAATAATATTATGGAGTCGGTACTGAACAAAATTATTTGTGGCTGAAAAGGGATTATACTTGAAGAAAAACGCTCAAAAGAACCAAAGAACATGCAATAASAAMTGAACAGTTACWTTTTTGGTGCAAWCCAGAACCTATTCTTGCCGMCTAACCGAAGTGTTTGTTTATATCYMTGTTTAAAAATTGTGTCAATTAAACTCTTATTAATCTACGAGAAGAAACCTATCTWTATSAAAGTTTTATKCAACTACCATATACAATTACTTAAACGCTAACAACATCTGTTTTGAAGGAATCCGTAAGTGAACATTGCTTCGGTAATTAAGAAATTCATAACAACAGCACTTTTTCATGAGATTGAAATATCCGTCATACTTGATTGATGTGCAGATGTTTTAAATAAACACGTTATATTTACTTTGCATAAGAAGTGTGGTGTTGCTTTTGGCGGAATTATATCACCTTTTATCTATCTCTTCTATGATCTGCAAAAATATGTACATTTTGCAAAACTTTCTCCGGATTTCAAACCAATAACAACAACTTTAAACTGCAATTGTTTTGCAAAGTTGAAAAGTTGGAAAACTAGATCAGCAACCTAGGCTGAAACTAGTTTTGTAGACACACGAAATACTGTCATCAGATAGAGGAGGAATAAAATATACCTTATTGGAGTTGCAGGAGATATTGACCTTTATCTATTGCAAACTCGTCGAAGTGCTGTTGCTAACTGATTAAAAAGGCTTGAGTATTTCTGAAATAAACGATTAATTAATAAAACATTAGTAAGGAGAAAAATATTTATTTAAAATACGCTTAATTACTTTCGTTTTTATTGAAAATAATTTTATAAAGTACAAATCCTTTCCTTTTTCCTTTCATTACATGAAATCATCTCTGAATTAGAGAGGGCAAAAAATTATGTATCGAGTTCTCCTGTTTCCGCCAGTGAAGAAGTTGTAATATTTGCTGGTGGAACGGATGCTTTTGAATATGCAAAGGCTGCTTCTTCAAGTGAAATTAATAAAGCTGCAATATATTTACAAGACTGTTAAACTTGCCATTCGGACAGAAATATTACACAATGAGACGCGACTGTTATAAAGTAATCTAATGCGAAGCGAAACTTTCAGATGTACTTTC